TATATATATATATATATATATATATATATATATATATATATATATATATATATATATATATATATATATATATAATTTTTATTTTTTATTTTATTTTTTATTATTTTTTGCTTTCACTAGTTAATTTAAAATGTTCCTGCAGTGTGACAGACAATAAATCTACAAATACAGTTGTTCAATGTATATGAGCTAATTAAAGTCACATGCAAAAACATATTTAAAGTTTATGTTACTCTGCACATACATTTCCAAAAATGTTTCAATGTCAACTACCCAACTGCTTTTTAAACTAATCCTTTACGTCAATGTAATACAGCGCTGTATTCCTTGAGAATGCGATTTATGGAGAGCATTCAGCGTGCATTTTTATCCTTCAGTGCAGGGATGAAAAAGTTCATAAGCACAGGTATCCCATCAACCCCAGCTCTTATCTTCCCCTCACATATGAAGGTGGCTGGAGCATTGATGTGTGTGTGTGACAGTGTCTGGAGTCTCACCTGAATGCCTCTATCAGTCTCTCCACTTTCTGCGCTTCGCCTTGCACACGGATATGAGCCTGAAACTTCCTCAGAGCCTCATCCAACTCCATCCCCGAGAAATCCATCTCATCCACCACACAGCTATCAAAAAGAAGGAACAGACAGAAAATGAGAGAGGGAGAGAGAGTGTGTAAGAAAAACAAGGTATTAAGCAGACACATAAGATGAAAGCTCACATGGCCCGGCTCTACGGTCAGTGGATATTTGAGGTTTAGCCCAGACCTTTGTGGAACTGTTTGGGGACATCCTTTGATGATTTTTCTTTTTTTACTGCTGTATTACTACTATAATACCAATTTCAATTTGGGCTAAGTAAATTAATACTTTTATCCATCAAGCATTCATTAAATTGATGCATGCTTGATGGATAACATTGATTAAAAAATGATCAAATATGACAGTGATGACATTTATAACATTACAAAAGATTACTGTCAAATAAATGCTGTATTTGACCTTTATGCTTAGACTTCTGAAAAAAAAATGCATAAAAATACTGAGCAGCACAACTGTTTTCAACATAGATAATGATAAGAACCATTATTCATAATTGAGAACTAATAGGAGTAATAGGAGTAATGGCTTCCAAAAATTCAGAATTTTTTTTAAATGCAGTTTGGGGAGACTTCTTACAAAAACATAAAAAAAAAAAAATATATATATATATATATATATATATATATATATATATATATATATATACCTAGGACTGTTCTTGTGTCTTGCCCACCATATACCTGTCTGCCTGTTTAACCCTGCCTGCTTCATGACCACGTCTCTGTCTTCTCCACAATAAAGCCTTGCAGATGGATCCGCACGTCTCACGTCTCGTCAGTTCTGTAACACCATTAATATCTGTAAAATACGAAACTTAGCCAATTTTTGTTTAAATGAAGGATTGCAGAATTGAGAACAACCTAGATTTAATTCAACCAGGTGTAATATTCTAGAACTTAATATGTCCTCCATAACTCCAAGTACACTGCTCTGACCCTTCTTGGCACTGAGTGTACAAGTTCATGACAAATTTTCACATCTGTGCTGTTTAACTCCTGGAGGACGACCTCCTTAAATGCTCTGGTCTTTAATGGGGAGTGTTGCTCAGCTCGTCTCTACAGAATCTCTCACAGCAGCTCAAGATTGTTAAGATTGAATGAAATACATATCCACTAAAGGATTTTCAACTCGGGAGAATGAATATCTTCATTGTCATATTAAAAGAAATGCCCAAAAATGCAGGGAATGAGAAGAGGGTAGCATCTTCAGTTTCAGGTTTTTGTATTACATCACACAGTAGTGTGTGAATTCATGACAGCGTTGATAAAGTGCAACTCCCTCACACCTTCAGCACTCATGCATCCCTATATAAAAGCTTTACTACCACTGAACGTCACTGTGGGTACCAAGCGCTTCTCACTGTACTCCTCCTCTAGCAACACCAGAACATTTAGGATGCTGATAGATCCGAAATGATTGAATTGGTCTCATGAGACCAGAGTATGGATTCCCAGAAGTCTCTTTTTTGCAAATATGGGCCTTGGAAAAAGCTAAATGAGTTTATTGTGCTTTGGCTACAGTCGGTAGTTCTGGTGTGGATAAACAACCATGCATGTCACTTCTACATGCTGCATCTTACTCTGTGAGATAAAGTGTCACTCTTTTCACAGCTTTTGCCGGCTCTGAGATACTTTCACAGTGTTTCTCCTGCTCTTTTTCTAGCAAAAACTCACTCATCACTAAATGAAAACTTAAAGTGAAGACCTGATTATTTCAGAGGCCTTTTCACAAGTCCATTGTTTTTGAATTTCTGTGTTACTTTGGCTATATTTTCACACTTAAAACAATAATTTGGTATTGCTCTTGTACCATTGTCCTCTTTTATGCTAATAAGTAAATCTCCTGACAGTTCTCTCTCAAGTGGTTTCATGGTTGTCAGCATTAAGTCTGAGTATGATTCAGTGGGCCATATAACACTTAATTATCAAAAAAATTACTTACCTTTAACAGTTTTGGTTCAACATACTTGCATGTTGATCAATACTTGCCTTAACCTTACACCAGATTTTTCGTTTTATTTAGTAACTTTCAGGAGGGTGTACTCATTTTTGCAACAAAACATTTTATCACTTTGATAAGAAAATTGTATTTTCTTGAATAATTTTAACATTCTTCTTTGGTAATTGATTAAGCAGACTTGCCGGAATATTATATCTCTAAAAAACCATAACATGTCTATTAAGCAAAGAGTAATCGCTGAATTTTTTACATTTCAGAGGGGGTGTACTCATTTATGCTGTGCACTAAATTCTTTAAATGCAAATTCTTTCTTTAAAAGTACAACTATCCAATACTTAAAATATCTAATAATTATAATATCTATATGAATCAAATTTGTCTGCAAATAGCTTCTTCAAATCCCTAGGGGGTTGTCATTAGGACGGAAGGCTCTGCATTAATTAAATGTTATGTTTGCATTCACTTTTGCAGCAGAATAAATTACAATATGCATGTGATTTAATGTCAAATAGTCACAAATGTGGCTTTTATTAATGATAATAATGACACATGAAATCAAAATCCACTCGTAGTGCCCAAGACCTTTGTGAAGTGTACCTTAACATTAACACAAATACTGTACAGATAGAGTGATGGGATGTCAATAGACTTCAGGAGACATCACTCACAGATGATTTCAACCCACAACCAGGCCCAGAGTAATCGCATCTCAGCTAACAAAAGCAACGAACTCCCACTTACATGAACAACTTTAAGGTTTATTTCAAATGAATGCACCAAACAGCCTTTATAAGGGATAATTCATACAAAAATTGTGCAATTTATTTCCGTGCCATTGTTTCAGTCTTCAGTGTCACATGATCCTTCAGAAATCATTCTAATATGCTGATTTGGTAATATTGGTAATATATGCTAATATTTTTAATATCTTCATGACCTCAAACATTTGAACGGTAGTGTAGATTTTTACATAGCATATTAACTTTTACAAAATCACTTTCACAAAAATAGCTGGTAATTTAGCACATGAGTTAGTATGGACTAATTTTTGCAGTGCTCTTTGGATATTGGTGATTTCTTTATCATGCAGGTTTGAAATGACATAAATGGCAGAATTTTCTTTTTTTGGGGGATGAAACTATTCCTTTAATGTCAAACAAAGTTCACAGCCCAAGAAGTCCAACTGAAGCTTCACTCCACATAGACAAATTCAGAACCACGGAAATGTTTATTCGATAAAATATATGTGGTCTGTATGGAGGCGATAACTAATTGATAATAATTTTTTCTTCCACCAATGTTTGCGTGTTTATTGTGCTAAGCTGCCAGCTGGAGATTTCAGAAAGAGAAACGGCTGTCGATTTGTACATAGAGCAGGTGTAGAGAGAGTAAGACATCTATGCAGGGAAATAAATATCCAAGAACAGTGAGCCAATCTGTTCCTCTCTCCCTTTTGGTAAAGTTGCTGAAGAATATCCTTTCAGTATGAAAAACAGACTGTTCAAAGCTGAATAACTGAATGAACATTAACACACACAGATAACATAAAAACATACAAGGATAAATGCACACGCCATTATGTGCCTTGAAATATACATGTATTTCTACTACAGTCCATAATTTCAAGTATATCTTTCATACAAATGGGAACATGATTATAGCATGCACATGTAGAGAAAGTCACTTAGTAGTCACTATAAAAGCATAAAATGCATATAATGCTTGCTTGCTTATTGGTTTCTTCTTTTTGTTAGAATGCTTCATTTTACAATCATTTGATCAATTAAATGTGTTGTTGCTAAATAAAAGTAAATAAAGTGTTCAGGTCTCACTTGAGCTGGTGTTGTTGCTTTAGCAGACCCAAGAGTTTAGAAAAATCATAAAAAATGACTAGCCAGAAAAACACTGGAAGATCTTTTCTAAAAGCCTGCTCGCAATAATGGACACGCTTTGTATAGTAAGGACTGCACTAAACTTTAACTCTAATTTGAGCTCTCTCCGTGTGTCTGGAAGCACTGTGTGCTCATCTGTCAAACTGGTTACATTATCAACAGAAATTGAGAGAGGAATCTAGTGTTTCTGCAGCAACCTCATTAATAAGCTAATTTTCAAAAAGACAAGCATACAGATTCTTGCTTTCAGGACAAAAAGAAAAATATAGTGCATTTTTGCCAATGTTCTCTTTTTTTCTTTTCTTTTCTTTTTTCTCAGCAAGAAGCTTCAGAACAGTCAAAATGTGCTCAGATACCACACTGCAGACAAATTAATGTAGAGTGTGCACAGACATATTGTACAAAAAATCATCCATTTTCCAAACTGATGCCCTATGTAGGGTCCTGGAGGCTATATCAGCATCTCAGGCCAAAAAAAGCAGAAAAAAGTCAATTTCAGGGCTAACAAACAAATTCATTCAAACCTCTAAGCAATTTTTTATATCTCCACTTCACCTATCCTGCATGTCCTTCAATACCTGAAATGGATGTCTCTGATTTAAGGGATACATTCAAAATGTGTACTATTAGGGGTACTCCAAGATCAAGGTTGGGAACATTGGTCTAATAGATCAGGAACAACCTCTCAAACATTTTCATCAAATGAGAAACTGATTTACGGTCTTTAAGGTGCAATGCTGCATTTTCTTTGGTACAACAACTGCAAAGTCGTGCAGAGTTTATGGATCCTCAGGCTTGAGGAAAGAGGAAAGAAGTGGGGAATCTGGTTAGCACATTTTTTGAGCTCCCTGTGGCCCAATACAAAAGACTCTGGAGCCATGCCTGTAGCATACACCTATTATGGAGACAATGCAATTGGAGCAACCTTGGGTTAAATGTCTTGCTCAAGGGTACTGAGAGAATACTATACAGGTTCATCTCAATAAATTAGAATGTTGTGGAAAAGTTTATTTTGTAGCGTCTGGACCACTCCAACACACAATATATATTTTGTTAGCTAGATTTCACAAATACTTTGTAACACCCCAGGACGCCGAACAAGACCCTGGTTTCATGGTAACCCGATACATTTACAACCTTGTGGAATGCGAGCCAGCTCTCATTCTGCTTTCT